TTTTATTGTCCTGACGTTTCGGATTCCGTCGGGAATCCTTAATCATAGGTAACGGTATCATAGTCATAGTCGTGCGCAGACTATGAATATGATACCATTACCTATGATTAAGGATTTCCGACGGAATCCGAAACATCAGGACAATAAAACTCTTGTTCCAATACTAACTTTTAAATTTTTAGATTTCCTTATTAATTCAAACAGGATTTCTGTTTTTAAAATGCACAAAAATGGTCTTTATTGCACCTGTTCGGTAGTAAATTACACCTTCCAATTTTATATTCGAAGAAGGGGTATGCTTCAGCTTTGAAAATCTATAATTATGATATTTGGAGATCTTACAATGTCGATTCAAACAGCACTCTATTTGCAGGTTTATTTATGTTGTTTGTGAAGTATAAATCATACTCCATATGCACTAGAAAATTTCGGGGGGTCTAAATGACATCTTGTGTACCACATCTTAATACCATAGAAGAACGCAGTATTTCATAGTACACGAAGCGTGCTATTTGTAGGCTGTCAACCTTTCATACGAACTCAAACGACAGCTAGGCCTCGAAAGTATTCGCGAATTTAAAAAGAACTAGAAAGATATCCTTTTTATCTAGTATAAACCTTGAAGAAGATATTATTTTCCCCAAAAGGACATTATACAAAATTTCCGTACATGGTTTCTTTAAAATATATTTGAATTCCTAAGGGCATCAAATATCAATGGAAAAAAATCATACTACTCAGGCAGTTATTTTTATCAGGCAAGCGGCCGAAAAGAAGAACATTCACAAGCCAACATCTTGGCATATCAAGTGTATCATGGAATTATGCTGCACGATAACCAATACAAAACCCTCACTTAGTAATCTTTCCTAATCGAAAACAGCACTGAAGGTAAGTCACTATTTCATAATTTCGATCATCGACTGTGAACTACTATAACCTCCAGTCATCCGATACCTAGACAAAAAGGTCTGTATTTCTGTTTCTTTCAAATAACCGGGTAAGCGCGTGAGATACTAAAAAAAACACTTGAATTATGTTTGCCTAGGTTTGCATGGTGAAATTTTGATGCGATGACAAAAGCCGGGAAAATACGAAAAAAACAATCAAGTCCCAGCGATCGAGTAGTCTTCTTCTTTTTTTCATAATCAAGTCAGTTCCTCGTGGGTCTGGGTTGAATGAGAAATAGGAAAGAACGTAGGGAGTAGGGAAACCCACCAATTCGCAGAGATTAACTGCAAATGTCGAAGCATACGTTTGAGTTTTGTCAGTAAATATTATACCAAAATCTCATAAACATA